TTGGGGGGGGGGTCGGCGCCGCCCGCCGCGCCGCCCGGCGGCCCGGCGTACAGCGCGTTCGTCACCGACGCCAACGCCGACCGCCTGGCCGCCGCGCTGTCGCGCATGCGCGGCGCAGCCCTCAAGCTCGGCCAGATGCTCTCCATACAGGACGACAGCGTCATCCCCAAGCCCGTGCTGCTCGCCCTGGAGAGGGTCAGGCAGGGCGCAGACGTCATGCCGGAGAGGCAGCTCAATGCCGTGCTGCAGAGGGAGCTCGGCGCGCAGTGGAGGGACTCGGTGGTTAGCTTTGAGAGTACGCCGATTGCAGCCGCAAGTATCGGACAGGTGCATCGCGCGGTTATCGATGCGGGGGAGGAGGGGGAGGTCGACGTCGTGTTTAAGATTCAGTATCCCGGCGTGGCGAGGTCGATCAAATCGGACCTGAGCAACTTGAAGCGCCTGGTCACGGTTGGTAACTTTATCCCGGACAACTTCTTCCTGGACGACGCGCTTGCTCATGCGGAGGAGGAGCTGCAGCGGGAGTGCGACTACACGATTGAGGCGGCCAACCAGCAGACGTATCGCGACCTTGTGCTGGCCTCGCCGATACTGCGAGAGCAATTTTACGTGCCCAAGGTGTACCCGTCGCACTCCACGCAGCATGTCCTCGTGTCCGAGTTTGTCAAGGGCATCGCCATCGACCGGATCGCGGACCAGCCGCAGCACCTGCGGAACGAGGTCGCGTCCAGCCTGCTGCGCCTGACCATGACGGAGCTGTTCGTGCTTGCGTTCCAGCAGAGCGACCCGAACTGGTCCAACTACCTGTACGACATGGAGAGCGGCAAGCTCAACCTGATCGACTTTGGCGCCGCGCGCCCGTACGAGGAGCCCTTCCTCATGCGCTACCTCGCCCTCATCCGCGCGTGCGCCGCGCGCGACCGCCAGGCAGTCATCGACCACTCCGTCGCCCTCGGCTTCCTCACGGGCGAGGAGAGCAAGGAGATGCTCCACGCGCACGTCCAGGCCTCCTTCGCCGTTGGAGAGCCCTTCCAGGAGCAGAACCGCGACAAGGGATTCGACTTTACCCACAATGATATCCCCGCACGCACCGCCAAGTTTGGAAAGGTCATGCTGCAGTACCGCCTCACCCCGCCGCCGAAGGAGGCTTACTCGCTGCATCGGAGGCTTTCTGGTGCGTTTTTGATGAGCACAAGGCTCGGCGCGACGATTAACGCCGCCGAAATGCTGGAGGCGACAGTGGCTACGCTGGTGGCTGAAGGTCGCGTGAGCAGTTGATAGTCAGTAGTGGTGGTAAGAGTCGGGCACAATTTTGAAACAACTACGCGGTGGGGAGAGGCAAAACGGCTAGCTCTGGTTTTAAGACTAGAGTACTGTATCCCCGTGCTACGGTAAGTACGCCAAGGCGACATTCATCTCCGGTTTTTTGTTCCTCGATGATTGCGTGCTGGTATTGTAAACTTACTTTCTTAACTGAGTACATAGATCCGAGGGTTTCGCTGACCCGCTCTATTTCTTTTGAAAGGGGTGGAGCGCCCTGTCCTTCATCATGACGCTTCAAGAGTCGGCAGATTCAAGCTTTACAACTGAGATATGTTATGTACGGTATTTTCAAAGTAATCCTACGGATAGAGAAAACAATAATCACAGGCTGCCTGCAAGGCACGTTCCAGTCGTGCTCTAGTCACGCACACACGGAGCCCCGCCCTCGCTGCAGAGTTTTCCATCTTTCTTGATTCGGCTCGTGCAACAGTTCGGGCCACCACCAGGGCGGCTCTTGCATCCGCTTCCGCCGCACTGCCCACAAGACGATGCACAGCATACAGATCCCCTGCAAATTCCCATGTCATCCGGCGGCGTTTCTTGCGTAACCTCGGGCTGGACTGGCTCGGGATCTGTTGGAGGCACTTCTTCGGGTGGAGCTGGATCATTCACCGGCGCGACTGACGGGGGGTCATTAAAGCCAGCCGCTACTATTGCAGGTGTAATGGGATCTGGTTGACGGCCGTCCTGAAAGACTTTTGGAATCGCAAAGAACGATCTAGCGTCCGGACAACCATTGTGTTCGCACTCGCCAATTTCATCAGCGGAGGTTTGGCACTGCCCATTGACAATTTTGGGGCTGTCTCCTGCCTCGAAAAAGGGCTGGTATGACCCTCCCAACTTACCTCCGCTAATGCGGACGTGTGAACAGGAATAGTAGTCTGGGAAATGCCCGCGATCTCTCTTAAAGTACAGCCCACCGTACCAGACAAATCCAAAGACATAATCCCCGTCTAGAAAGACGGCAGGAATGACGACAGTCCTAGAAAACGCTTCTCCAGATTTATCGGTGCCGCAGTCCTCGTTTTGAGGACAGTCATACTCTCCAATCTCCCAGCATGAATGTAACAAAGTCATCTTCTGATGCCAGGCCCTATCCCACATTTTGTCCACAGGCACCAAAGAAAGGCGGATCAGTCCACCGTGATGATTGTTCTTTGTCCACTTCACCAAGACTGTTTCTCCGCGTCGCCAGGTTGCGGCAGGTCGTTCCTGGGAATTGGCCATGCCACTTGAGTGCTTAGAAGGACATGCATCTGTGCATTGACGACCTTTGCAAGTCCGAGTTTTGAAAACACGGTTGTATGCCGGAGGTTGGATCAACCAGCCATGCGATGAAGCATGGGGTAGAGAAGTCGCCAATAGCACAGTTACTAGCAAAAGCCAAGCTGCAAACATGTCGAAAGCTGCGGAGTTTTTGTTAGTAGAGCGTTTGATGAGATTTTGGAATGAAGTGAGCCAAGTCTAAACTAGAAAGATCCTACAAGGCTTTTATACAGCACCGACGTTGTTGCTCTATAACAAAGAACTTCAATACGTTGCCCCGATATCAGCGCTCTACACATTTGTTTGGCGATAAAGTGGTCATGGCCATGTGCAAAAGTTGCCCCCGTCAAAAACTGAGATTTTGCAAGTGTCAGACAAGGCTACACGACTCCCCGGGGCAGTAAGTTACGTTAGTACCAGGCAACAAGTGCAGCGGTGCTAAAACAGCACGCGAGGTTAGCCTACTGTATGATACTGTGTAACTCCTCACAGTTTTAAAATAGCATGTCGTGTCCTGGGGTACATGCATAGACAAGGCCAGGTAGCCCAGTTGAAAATTCACAGAAGAGCGATACTTTTCAAGTCGCGACGGTTGGCGATCTACTTTTTTTTTTTTTTTTAGTTGGGCTTGGGAGTCCTCCTTCTTCTGAAACAAGTGAAACCAAAGAGCAGCATTTATCTCTTAAACTGCTCAGTGATGGTGCTACAGTAATAATATCAATATAGACATCAGAACTGGTTGCCAAAAACCGCATTAAGCAAGTGGAATCACCTCGCGAGAAACAGTTACGTACATGACTGGGCCAGGCTGACCTATTTCCGCGTGGCACTTTGGCGCACCCCGTATAATCGGGCTTTATGCAGCGGCAACAATATCCGCTCGGCATGCGGAGGAGGAAGGGGCAGACTTGTGCGATAGTGACAAGGCGAAATTGATCTAGAAACAACCTAGGTAGCTCGAAATGACATACCCTGTATAAAGATACAGAACCCACCCGTCCAGTACATCAACGGCAGGGCCTACCTTCATGATTCACACATAATGCACATGTAGGTAAGCAGAAACAGCCCCCTCTCTGGAGCAGCATAATTCGACCAAAAGCCCGCAGAAACGCCACATCGCTCAGTCTTACGGTTCACACAGGGGCAACGCGAGATGAGTCACATCACCACGAGGCTCTGGTAGGGCTTGCTACTCCCACATACGTGGTGTTCTATACGGGATGCAGTTGACGTCAACTGCATATAGCAAATCATACAGCTTGTCCTCCAAAATTCTCAGACGTTGACGACATGATCAACAATGTCAGACGTCAACGTCTGAGAATTTTGGAGGACAAGCTGTAAAGTTTATGATTTGCTTTGATCTCACTCGTGCTCATACAGTATGTCCTGTACAGATAGGGTTGGCACTGAACCGTCCTCTACGTCGAGGCCGACCCCCTTCGCTCGTGAGTTTTGTCTCGGCCGCGATCTTTTTAGGGAGCAGAGCGGTGAGACGAGAGTTACGGCGGCGGGCTTTGCAGCAAACTACTTACCGGGCACCCTAACGGTACAACTATGACGAAAGGGTTGAGCGTATCTCCACTGTATGTGACCGTACGTGTATTGTAGATTCTCTTCCGCATGCCGTTGAAACTGCACGCAAAGTACAAGACTCTTGTTGCTTGGGAGCCTTTCTAGACTCCATTGTACGCCGGCTACGACCAGCACAGACGCCGCTTCCAGCTCGCGAGTTTCCCTCTCCACGACGGAAGGGGCTCCCCGACATGGCCCGCGAGAGGAGCACAAAACATACAGTACAATGCGCGAAATTGGAATAAATACACCATCGACGAGAAACATCCTGTGCTGTAGCTATGCGCCGACCTGCTTTAAAACCCAAAGACCGACCTTATGCATTTCGCGCTTGCTAGCCATCGATCAATGTTGAGACCGCACGTGCTGTGCGCAATGCTCAAGAAAGCCCGTTCTGAAGGGCTACCGCACGGGAGGCCGGGCAGATGGGGCGGGGCGGCGACACGCTGCAAGCTCTTGCGCTGCAGGCGACAACCGCTGCCACATGACGCGCGGCACGCTACAAGTACAAGTACAAGTAGAGCTCTCGCAAACATCGCTTCCCTACACGACACATGCCCCCTCTCCGACCACGACGCTCAAGCCGCGGCGCCGCGCGCTAGAGTGCCACGGTCCGGCCTAGTTGAGCGGCGTCCCTGCCCTACGGAAGCTCCAGGAGCGCAGCTCGCCACTCTTCCGCGCCGCCGCGCGGCACCTCGCGGCAGGCCCCGGCGCCAGATACCGCGCCTGACAGCGGATCGCCGGGCGGCGAGCGGGGTCGCCGCGGCGCCCCATGCCGCCCACGGCGGCGGTCGAGCATAGATGCAAGGCGCGCTCTAAGCCAATGTGGTTCTGGCGTCTGCGAGGGACCCGGGAGGTGCGCGCCACGTTGTGCTCATGCAGGCGAGGCGAATCAAAATTCTTTGTAAGGGGAACGCACGAACTCATCTGTCAATGCGCTAAGCAACTGAGCGATGACCATATCTCCAATGCTTCATTGGAGCTTTCCTCGCGAGCTGTGCGATTGCTTCCCTTCCCCATTCCGAAGTATTGATTGCATTGATGCTCTTCTAGCGTCAAGCTGTGACGTTGCCCAGCTCAAGGTCGAGTGTATGAATGTCAACCAAGCCGGATGGCAGCTTTGATGCTTGTGGACGCGATATGCGCTTTGCATGAACTCCGCTGTAACGAAGGGTGCTGTCATGCGGATGGAGCTGGGATCTCTGCGCTGAGGTACGATGGTTTTCTGCGTAGGTATTGGGCGGCCCATCTCGAGGCATAGGTAGGCGAGTACGCGCGCACATACGTGGGCGTTGTATGACGCCGGGTGTGAAGGGCTTGTCTCGAGCGACCGGCAGCTGCAAACGGCGGTGCGTGCATCCCGTACCACCAAGTCGTCATGGACACCAGGCGACGCGACTGGTTGCATTTTCCCATCAATGCTTCATTCAATTCAACTTCACTCATGATGTACCCGGTACCCCGTTTCCGACAGCGTCGAGACAGTCTGTTTACAGGAGATGCATCAAAGACGACAGGGGGGGAGGGGGTTCTCTGTGGACAGTGCCAGTCGAGAGGCGTCGACTATCAAAAGCAGAGTATGTGCGCCGCCCCCAGCAATTGCTTCCCCTCCATGCTGACACTTTTCGCACCGCTCGCCGCTGCGCGCGCTCTGCACGCACACCTTTCATGGGCACTCGGACATCACACTCGCTTCCAGTTGGCCCGAACCAACCTGTCCTATCTTCGGCGAGATCTGTAGGTCCTTGCCCTCTACCATCCCGCCGTCCACCGCACCCGCAATGCATCGATGCCCGTTCCTGGCGCAGGTTTGTCAGACTTCTGCCGCGGAGCTTGCCGTTGCCGGTATTGCATGACCCGCAACGGCAGCGCTCTCCCCCCGCTACGCTCCGCTTTACTGCATCTGCTACTGCAACAGCAACTGGATAGAGACAACGTCTACGCAGCTGCCTGCCGCGCGAGTCTACTTCGTAGTTGCAGCGGTGCGACAGTTGCTATCGCAAGCGCGGGCTGTCCCAGGAAGGCAGCAAACGTAGCGACGCGACGCCCACGCCGGGCATGCCGGGGCGCTCTGGTGTTCCACCGGCGGCCAGGGAAGCGGAGTTTTATATTAAAGGGGGAGAGCGAGCCTGAGCGAGCGGAGCACGGTTGGGTGAAATCTGAATCTGAAAGCGCGTCGGTTTGTGGACTGGCGGGAAGCGAGGGAGCGCAGTGCGACGTGTAGCGCGTGCGCTAGCGTCGCTGAGCGATGTGTGACGGCTGCGGGAATGGCACTCGCGGGTTGAGAAGGGGGCGGAGCAGCGCCGGTCGGTTGG